CACACACACACACACACACACACACATGTAGAACGACCTCCACACACACAGAGAAAAAGATGGTAAGGACCGGCAAAAGAACACGGTTATTGTGTGTCTGGCGCGGAGCACGGCACAAGCGGACGTGCTTGCTCAGGACACGAAACCCTACCTTACAGGGCACTGTGTTGAGCGAGTCTTTTTTTTTGGTAAATTATAAAAAAGCCCCCCACAAAGGCAGTCGAACCTGCAATAAAGGTTACCTGTCCAAAACAGTCTCCTGTGCAATTTACCACTTCCCACTTACCCACTTGCAACTTTTTGTCTATATAATAAAATAGCATTTGTATAGCGCATATCCCCGCTCAACAGCAGGCTCTATGCGCTTTACACTGTATTATTACCCCAGCAGACCATAGAGGTTAAGGTGTTGGCCTCTCATTCAAAAGGTCCCGGGTTTCAAAATTTCCTACCAACTGAAAATATTAAGTGTGTCCCGCGCGCTCATATAACCGTATGCAGTTGCGAGCGCCGTAAAACACTTTACAAAAACAAAACAAGAACAGTAATTTTAAATCTTGCTGGGCTGCGATATGGAGTGCACTGGTTTGAATTCCACAGGGGCGTGTTTGTTAGTGAGCTTGGGTATTATTATTATTTGTTGTTGTTGTTGTTGTTGTTGCGAGTTTTGATGTCTCCTACCCACTTCACTTGAGCCTATCTATTGACAGTAGAACTTGCCACCTGTATATGACAGCCACCTCTACAAACATCATGTACAATTTCTCCTTAGCTTTATTATACATTATAATGACACTGCATATGGCGTCGATCTGTCATAGATGGCCACGGCTCTTCTCTCTTCAACAGTAAGTGACCGTCTTAGACAAATGCGACTGTATTTTATTTAACTTTCTTGATGACACCATGCTGTAACTGTACCATGCTGCCACTGCCACTGTCACTGTCACTGTCACTGCCACCGTCACTGTCACCGTCACTGTCACTGTCACCGTCACTGCCACTTCCACTGTCACCGTCACTGCCACTGCCACCGTCACTGTCACTGTCACCGTCACGGTCACTGTCACCGTCACTGTCACCGTCACCGTCACCGTCACCGTCACTGTCACTGTCATCGTCACTGTCACTGAGCTTGGCAGCGGCAGACCGCAGATATCCTTGATCTATCATGTACCCTGTAAAATGGGTTTTGGCGGAGGAACGTGCACAGAGCCTAGAGTCCTTCTTGAAAACACCCCAGGAGAAATGGATAGCCGGCGAGAATGACCGAGTGACGCGGGGGTCATTTGACACGAAGGACGAACAAGGCCAATTGATTTTTACTTTCTCGTCGACTATCGTTTTGAATCGGTCTC